CCTCAGCACCATTAGTACATAAGAAAACTGCTTCAAGTTTCTGTGCAGTGTTGTCAGTTCTGCTTTTTTGACGTTCCCTGGCTTGGCTAGCCTGTTCAGAGACCCTTCAGTTTCATGGCACCTGGGCCCCCAAAACTGGAGTTTCTGAGTTTTTCCCAGTGGGAACAAGGTGGCTGCCTGTACTTGAGGATGACCTCTCAGATGTTGGAGAAGGTTTGATTTGTATTAGAAGGCTCGACGAAACAGATGTAGGTATGGCCTAGCATTTCTGTTTCTTCCGGCTAGACCACACTAGCTAGCAGGAGGGTTTTTTTTGTCTAAATTACTTGAGTGATGTATTTCATACGCTTTGTCCTGTCAGTCATTCCTGTGAAGGCGCATTTGGCGATACTCCCAGTATCTTGTCAAATCATTGACAATCAACTCTTTTTATGATTTAAAGATCTGAAAGATTGTTTCCAGTAGGAGAAATGCTTTCTCTGTCTGGGCTTTTGTCTGTTGGGACAGACTCCCTCAGCACCTGTGCATGGGTTAGTTTGACCACCCCTCCGATTGTTGTCTGGGGACATGGGATTTGGATCCCTGTACGCCTTAAGGAGCGGAAGCTTGAGCAGAGTGCATTACCTCCCTGGTTTTAAAGCAGCAGGGCCTTTTAGTAACTTCCTAGTCCCTCTGATCAGGACTTGTTTACCTCCAGAACAGTGCTTGCAGCCTCTTCCAGGTGATTTTCATGTCCAGCTTTTCTTGATGTTGCAAACACCATAGATGACGAGCAGTTTGTCTCAAAAACCGACTTGGGTGGCTTGGGAGAAAGACAGACAACCATATTTAACTCTGTTTCATGCTGTCTTTAGGTCCAAATCACTCTACAATAAAATGTTTTCTCAAGTTGCACATGTGCTTTCTATATTCTTGGTAAAAGGTGGAAGGGGCTAACGCCATCCTCTTCCGCCCCATCTCCCAGCAATGAAGAGGGTGACTTTCCAGTTGCATTCCTACTCCTTGGCCTTTCAGCAGTCTTCCCTTTCCCCATCAGCTAAGGGGCACTGAGATGGCATCTTTAGGGTACCGTGAAAGCGTGAGCATTGGAAACTGGCAGAGCAGCGCCGTGTCCTTGTCCTTGCACACCTACCAGATGGTGTTTCCCAGTTGCATGGACATTGGGAAGGCCTGGCTCACAGACACAAGTTAGGTGAGGCTGCCTCTTTGGCAGAGAAACGTTAGCCAGTCGCCTTTGGCGCAATCTGCTGCTAAAAGCTCTGAAGAAGCAGTTCTGTACTTCACAGCGACAGTATTTTTCGAGGTGGTTTTGTAAATACGTATCCCACCTCCTGCCTGCCTTCCCCCACAGAAGAGGAGCATCCTCTGGAGTAGTGGTGTGGATCTGGAAGGATCCGACCTCTGGAGGAAGCATTGTTCTTGGTTGTTATGGGGTGAGCGGTGGTGCAAGGGCACACGGGCCACTTGTCTCAGCTGACCTGGTTGCTGTGGGTTTCCACATGTCTCTGGATAGGGGCACACGGTTACGGCTGGGCACAGGAGAGCACTCTCTGAGTACTGCTTCCCAGATGATCGTGTTCAGCTTTTAATTAGGTGCAAATTCATTAATAATGAATAGTAAAGAAGATTTGCCACATTGCTAGTTTTAAACCGTGTATTCCCATTAACAAGGGTTTCATGTAGGCAGTATCAGCACTGTTACGTGTCACGAATGCTCCGAATCCCAGGGCATTCCTAAAATGCAACCCCGTCCCACCGTGTGGCTGTCATAGAGTCTGCGTGAGGCTGGGGTGCAGGCTGCTCCTGGGGGACCTGGGGCTTGGGCCGTGTGCAGATGGGCCACCTGGAGCCTCAGGGGCCTTGGGAGTTGTTTAAAGGCTCCCTAAGTGCCAGAGGCACTGTGGGTTTCTCTGCTTCTTCCCATCCTGCCCCAAAACTTTCAGGGTTCTTTCTGGGCTTCAGAGCAGTGAACTTTCTGGGAGGGGTACAGAAGGGATTTCAAACAGTAGAACTTTCTACTCCCTTGAAACCAAAGGAATTTACAAGTCTTGTTCACATAAGCTCACTTCGTTTAATAGTTTTCTGATGTGGTTCTTGAGCATAAAAACGTCTTGATGCTGATGACCCAAGTCAGTATACGCAGACAATGTATGTATGTTCAGAAAAACATCTTGCATTTTGAAGGTGTTCTTAATAGATGTATGTAGTATTTCCACCATATGTTCCGAGTTACCGCTCCTTCCAACCTCACAGTTAATTACTCTTTGGTTCCTAAGGCTTTAATTTACAAACTGAACGCAAGACTATTAAAAAATCAACTAAAAATACTTATAGAAAAGAGGTGCCTATGGCTGTATGCCGTATGTTCATGGAAATGATGGGTGATGCTCCACCAGCCGTTTTATCTGTAAGAACTGCAAGTTTCCATCTGTTTTGGTTTCTTAGTGTCAAAGCATCGATGTAGGGATAATAACAAACCAGATTACTACATGTATGATGCACTTATAAAAGATAAAAGTTGTGAGATGAGGAGTGGGTTTAAAGTTCTAACATCTGTCCTAACAAAAAAAGTTCTTGGATGGGGCCTAAAATGGATTGTAGCAGTGCGTACTGTGAGAGTACTGTTGCTAGAAAGGGTATCTTCGGGCCACGAAGATGCTCAGAGGGCTGGAGCGCCTCTCCTATGATGAAAGGCTGAGAGAGTTGGGCTTGTTCAGCCTGGAGAAGAGAAGGCTCCGGGGAGACCTTATAGCCCCTTCCAGTACCTGAAGGAGCCTACAAGGAAGCTGGGGGGGACTTTTTACAAGGGCCTGTAGTGACAGGACAAGGGGTAACGGGTTTAAATTGAAAGTGGGGAGGTTTAGATTAGATATCAGGAAGAAGTTCTTCACGGAGAGGGTGGTGAAGCACAGGAACAGGTTGCCCAGAGAAGCTGTGGCTGCCCCATCCCTGGAAGTGTTCAAGGCCAGGCTGGATGAGGCTTTGAGCACCCTGGTCTAGTGGAAGGTGTCCCTGCCCATGGCAGGGGGGTTGGAACTAGATGATCTTTAAGGTCCCTTCCAACCCAGATCATTCTATGATTCTATGATTATCTGTGTGAACTTGCAGTAATTTTGACAGTAAATACTTTCAATAATGCATAATTTAAATACTTTTTATTTATTTATATTATTATGTTTTATTCAACAAAAAATGGGGATAAAATTAACCATTTCTTTCCACTAGGTATCTGGACTCCAGAACTCTCCTCCTGCGTAAGGCTAATGGCATAGGTGGGTCTTTAGGGGTCTGAACAATTCCCTGTTTGGCCAACCTGGCCCAAGAAGCCAGCAGGTCAATGAATGATACCTTGGAAAAGCCAAAAGGTTTACTCTTACCACATGTAGTTGCACACCGTGCTGGTGGAATGGCAGTGGTTGTTCTATGATGAGTTATGTCACAGTGGCAAGTAAATGGTACTGTTTTCCAGCAAGTTAGGGAGCTTTAGGAAATGTCTTGAAAGTTCAGCAAGGGCAAGCAGCATGGAGGGAACGGTGGAAGGGGAAGAAACCGCAAATTCTGAAGTTCATGATGTAATGCAGAGAAAAGGGAGAAGGAAAAGCTGTGAGCAGCATAGCTTCAAGTTGTGCTCCTGAAGCTGCAGTCAGTTCGGATGGCACGCGGTTCTCTCGGTGACTTCCGCTCCAAGGCCGGTGTACGCCCGTTTCCAGGCTCTGTTAGCCTAGCTCTTAGGTGAGGCGCAGAGAGAATGGGTTTTGTGAGAGAAAGCAGCTTTTTGCAGTTTTCTCCAGTACTCTTCACATGCTGGGTTCCCGTTCTCGTCACCTTCGTCCCACGAACTGCTCCTGCCTCTTCTGGGAAGGACAGGGAGGCTCCAGCTTTCCCTCCGGGCAGGTGCTGCTTACCTGCCTGGGTGTGAGCAAGGTGGGGCAATGCCGTGCGGCAGGACCTAGTTCAGGATTTCTCTGAAAACGGTTGTACTTCTCCATTAGTGCGTAGTGCGTCTTTTTGGTACGAGTTACGTCCATGTTCTCAGGCACAAAATACACAGATTTTCGATCAAATAGTGTTATCTTAGAAACACCTTCTCTAGAGCTTCTTGCCTGCTTTCGTTTGCAGGTTTCTGGCATCCAGAGGAACTCTTTTATGGTGTGTAAGTCAGAGCCAGGCGATGCTGATCCCGGAATACTAGTTTCTTTCATTTTGAGTCAAAATTTGTGACTTTTGAACATGGGAAGGAATGACACATAGCTATCATCATTTCTGGGCAGGAGGGGAATGATTTCTATAGGACTTGCCAAATCCACTGAAGTTTTTTTTTTCTGCAAGCTGATACAAAAAGGGTGTACAGATTCAGGAAATGAGGAGCTGTAGTGACAACTTCCCTGTAGGCACACAAGACAAATCCGTGCTGTATAGAACGGGAACAGCGTTGCCACTGTGCCTGACCTCTCTCTGGAGCCGTGTTACTTCCAATATGCTCCTCAGGGCTTTAAGAGCTCCCAAGCAGAGGGAGGATGTTTTCTCTTGTTAGGAGTTTTTCCTGGTTGGCTGTTACACTGTGCAGGGTTGGTGGAGGTTGTTTTACCTCAGGAGTCTGTGCTGTTATTAAAAGCCTTCATCACTGAGAAGGGTTAATTTAATTACTTTTTTTTCTTTTCCCCCTGGTTGACGTCTAGAAAAATGGATGATGATGATGATGACATTCCCCAGCTTTCATCCCATACATTGGCTGCCCTCCAGGAGTTCTATTTGGAGCAGCAGCAGAGAGAGGGCATGAAGACCTCCCAAGGGTTTAATCAATATTCCATTGGCTCAATAGAAGAAGACTGGGTAAGAAACTATGAACTTCAGTGAAGGAAGCACAGTTAGAGGAGTAACCTTTACCAGGTTTCTTTTGTGGATGGATAATGAAATTAAATTAAAAAGGGGAACACTCAAGATGTTCCTAAAGTAGGAAAATCAAACTATTCATGGGCAATAATGCTGCAAGGATATTTGCCTCAATATTAAATCTGGGTATAGTTGTCTGTTCTACATCTGCGGGGGTACAGATTGAAATTACGTGGAGGGAGAATAAAGCTGCCAACAGACGCATCCATCCCTTCTGGAAATTTTAACTCCAGCCAGGCATGTGATGGTAGTAAGGATTCTGCCCTGAGTTAGAGACAAACATGGTGTAACAAACTCAAGTGATCTTTCCTTTCACATCATATTTCTTTCTGTGCCTTATTTCTCTGGGTTTGTGGCTGGCTGCTTTGCTGCTCTTACGGCTTCTTGCAGACTGATGCTTGGTGTGTCTCTGGGTTGATTTTTTTTTTCCACTCTTTCTGATCTCTTCCGAGTTTCCTTCTACACTGTCACTTTTCAAGCTCCTTTTTCCTCTTCCACTAAAGTAACCCAATTTAAGTGCACATAGATACGGTGCATCTGCACACTGCGTCTGAACTAACCTCGTCAGTGATTTTCTGCATTAGTTGATTTTGCTGATACTGCAGTAAATGCTTTGGAAACACAGTGTGAGCCACCTGCTGCTTGTTGCTGGGTTACAGAAGTGAGGCAGCTCTCGAGAAAACGGTCACCTTCAGAGTTTGTGAACTGAGAAGTTACTATGGATTTTGGTTTTCTTCAAATATGACTCGCCACACTTAACTGTACTTAGCACAGGCCCAAGATTTGCTGGTGTTTGTGACTGTGTGTTATCTTTCTCAGCAACTGAGCCAGTTTTGGTACAGCGATGAAACTGCATCCTGCCTGGCTAATGAAGCACTCGTGGCAGCTGGGAAAGGTGGCAGGTAGGTTTTATTAATTACATTGTAGATTTAACACCCTTCCTGTAAGTATTTCATTTCTGTTGCGTAGACAGGGCATACAGGTTAATGCATTACTTGCTGTACTTCATCTTTGTGCAGGTGAGACGCTGCAGAAATGCTTTGCTCTTGGTTATTTAGTAGTTCATACTGATCTTATCGCTTAGCATTCCACTGAATGTTGTAGGCTTGCCTTGTACAAGTTTACTATGAATCTTCTTATTTTCTGAGAACTACAAAGAGCTCCAGAGCTTATTAATGACTTGGGATTCTCTCCTCTGTTTTCATCCAATGTTTCTGTAGAACAGACAGAAAGCTTGGTTTACTTCCTGTTTCTGTAAGGAGTCATTTTTAAGTTTTCAAGGCTATCTCCTTGCTGTTCTGAAACAAGATTTTCTCTGTTACACTCTAAACCAGTATAAGGTCTCTGTGCAGCTTGGGGGCTGACTACATAATGGCTTTAATACTTAAACCTCTATTATTAAAGTAATTATCTGTTAGAATGGAGGAAGAACAGCTTACGTTTCTGGGAATAACGTTTCAGCTGTTTTCCCAAAGCATCCTTGAGGACTGCTGAAGGGTTGGTTTTGTTGTTGTTTGCCTTTTAAATGAATATCCTCAGTTCCTGTCTCTCTTTCAGGATAGCATGTGTTAGCGCACCAAGCGTGTACCAGAAACTGAAAGAACGGGATGGCAAAGATTTTTCAGTGTGTATACTGGAGTACGACAGAAGGTTTTCTGTATATGGAGAAGAATTTGTCTTCTATGATTACAACCACCCGTTGAAGTTACCTGAAAATCTCCTGCCACACAGTTTTGACATTGTAGTAGCAGATCCACCCTATCTGTCTGAGGAATGTCTTCAAAAAACTTCAGAGACCATCAAATACTTAACAAAAGGAAAGATTCTGCTTTGCACAGGTATAATTAGTAAAAATATGAGGTCACCATTAAGCACCTTTTTCTGTCTCTCAAAGGACAAACTTACTTAAGTGAGAAAAATACTAACTCACTAATTTATCACTGATTCAAGGAGAAACATGTATCCTAAGCTTTTTATCCGGATACTTTAGTTCAACCTTTGTTTTAAATTGAAAGCATGTGGTTTTTAATCCTTGAAGTCAGTACTTTTTTCATACGGCATCACAAATTTTACTAAATTTTGAAGAATTGTAAGATCATCCTGCAAAATTCCGGTAATATTTTTTTCTTGTAAGAGGGCCGCTCTCTGTAATTGCAGCGGTTGGAATCTGGGTATGACAGACAGAGGTGCCACTTGTTTAAAAACTCACAAATTCGTAAGGTTATTGAATAAGACATTAACATGTCAGTAGCTGAAGGATTCCAGCTGCCACAAACTACTCAGCATCTGAGGTGAGCTAAGTAGAAAGAATGACAAATGGGTTGGAATGGCTTTTGCTCAGTAAAATGGGATGATTTTAGCCAAGTCTAGAAAACTCTTTTTTTTTTTTTTTTTTATAGTACCGGTCATTCCTGGTAAACATCGAAATTGTAATGCGAATGAATGTATGAGGCTGCAAGAATCGGGCTTGTTCAGCCTGGAGAAGAGAAGGCTCCGGGGAGACCGTATAGCACCTTCCAGTGCCTGAAGGGGCTACAAGGAAGCTGGGGGGGACTTTTTACAAGGGCCTGTAGTGACAGAACAAGGGGTAATGGGTTTAAATTGAAAGTGGGGAGGTTTAGATTAGATATCAGGAAGAAGTTCTTCCCGGAGAGGGTGGTGAGGCACTGGCACAGGTTGCCCAGAGAAGCTGTGGATGCCCCATCCCTGGAAGTGTTCAGGCCAGGCTGGATGAGGCTTTGAGCAACCTGGTCTAGTGGAAGGTGTCCCTGCCCATGGCAGGGGGTTGGAACTAGATGCTCTTTAAGGTCCCTTCCAACCCAAACCATTCTGTGATTCTATGAGAGGATGCTGACACTGTCATTCAAGTAAGGAGGTGTTAGGCACTGAAATACAGCAGGAGGAATTAAAACCAGTGATAAGAGCAGTGAAATGGGATAACCTACCAACAGTTACTTGCAGGGCCTTCTTTAAGAAGATGCACTTGCTGGTTTAAGAAGCGATGAGCATTGGCCTTAGTCATGGTGTTTCTTAAACTTTGGGAATAAAACAAAGGACAAAAACCCTCTATACATACAATTCAAGGGAAGTCAGCCAAGCAGGTGAAATAAAGAAAAATTAAAACGATAGGTGGCCATAGAAAGCCTACTTCTTTAATTACACGTGGTAGCCACGCACAAGGATGGTTCTCAGACTGGGGTTTTTTTCCCCTAAAATGGACAGCTGGTCCTTCAGTTTACAGAGTTTGAGAAATACTACTCAAGGAAATGATTTCTCAGTGTGTAGCTGTAAATATCGCACTGCGGTTTATTTAGGTGGAGGAGTGTATGTAATCTGTTTGCATTTCCCATGGCTCCCTACCACGTAATCTTTTTGGCATGTAGCAAGAAGATTGAGTTTGTTTTCTATGAAAGGGGCACTGGTCTTACCCTCTGCCTCATTTTTTGAAAATTCTTGGACATTCATTTCCTTGGGATGTCTTCCATTTGGTCAGATTTCTTTTAAACTTCCCAGTAGTTTCAGTTGGTAAAGAGCAGTGTAGCTGCTTTAAGCCTTACTTCCTTAAAAAAAGCAGGATCTATGTATATGCGTTTGGGAAGAGCTATTAAAAAAGCCCAAACATTCTGTTACTGGTTTACCTCATCAAATACTGTTTTTGCTGCAGGTGCAGTCATGGAGGAACAGGCAGCAAAGCATCTTGGTGTGAAGATATGCAAGTTTATTCCAAAACACTCTCGAAATTTAGCCAATGAATTTCGATGTTATGTGAATTATGCTTCTGGCCTGGACTGATTCTCAGAAGATGTACAGCTTTTTTCAGTCAAGCTCCTTTCTGTTATTTATCACATTTCTCAATGCTGAAATGTTCAGCTCCAAGAACTGTTTTCTGGGCTAGCTTTAGTCATCACGGTGTGATAGCCTCTCTCCTAAATGAGTAAGCATTTGCCGTTACTGTGTTTTGTGTCTTACCTATTAGGTAAATGGGGACCAAACAGTGCGGGTGCTGGGGACTTCTCTGTTCGAGTTCCATTCTAACTGGTAGCTTTTACCATTCAAGGACTCTTCAGTGACCTCTCTGAAGTGATTTTAACTGGTTGGCTTATAACAACACATAGGTGCTTGCCTCACAGACCTCAGAATCGTCGTTGCATCAGAACTGATGATTTTGGTAGGCAGTGGATTGTTGAAAGGGCACGAATAGTGGTCTCTTTCCATCTTGAGAGATGCTTCCTTAGTAAAAGGATTGTGGGATGTACGTTCTGAATGTGTTGTGTGTTTCCAGATTCATTATCCAGCAGGGAGCTGTTTTTATAAAGGGTAACTAGAATTGAAAATAGGTTTCCTTCTGGGAGGCCTCTCCAGTTGCTTTTAATAATCATCAGAACTACGTACCAATTGCCAAGTGAGATAAGACCTACTATCCATTGGTTTTGCCAGACTTACCTTTAAAATCTTGTGGTTATTGTTTCACCTTTTCTCTAAAGCCTTGTCACAAACCCAGACTTTCCTTTTGTAAAAGACAAGATCTATTTTTTCATCACTTACCCCCATAAACCCATGTGTGTATGTATGCTGTACTAGATTAAAAATAATATATGTTGTTAAATGTCTCTTTGCAGAAGTACGGTGCGTCTATTTTGCGATGCTTATGTGTTAGAGCAACAAGAAATCATGAGCTGCTGAAAAAACGTAAAACTAGGTCTTCTATTTACTGGTCAAGTTAATCTCCAGACCTAGTACAAACCTTATGTCTCCTTGAAAAAAGTACAGTAAGGATTTCCCCATTACCCCCATTCTTTTGTTAAGAATCATCCTTTACATCAGTCAGGCCAAATCAGGTATGTCAGCTTTGCAGTGACAGGAACAGTCCTTTGTCTCCAGGTGCCCTGTTTCATCTCTCTGTTCCACAGCTGGCAGCTGAAGCTTCTTAGAAATCCTTCAGTCTTACAGTGCCACTGATAAACTGCCACTGTCTATCAGAACAGCCAAATGTTAAATTTTATATACAAGGTTTGGGCTATATTTCAGTCAGTTTCAGTGAAAATGGAGGATACATTAGAAAAACTCGTCTTTGGGATGGTAGTGATTTTTGGTAACTGGGAATTTTTCAAGCCAGTTTTGAGTAACCTTTTGACTACTGATGTATTTTTGGGTTCATAAATTCCAAGGCACTCAATAGTTTGGTCAGCTGTAAGTATCCTATACAAACAGCACTTGTCTTATGTGCCATCGTTATATATGGGGGTTGTGTAAAAGGCTTACAGAAGTGCTGCATCTACACAAGGAAGCACGTAAGAGGAAGTAGTAAGAAATCCTTCTTGTGGTGAGGATTAACCTAAGGAAGCTTGAGACAAGACTTTTAATAAGGTACCGATAATACTCCAGTTTCTGCGCATTCCAGGTTTTCCCATCTGGTGGAGTAAACAATGAGCAGGAATAATGTGTATGGAATACAGTCCCCTCTCAGTGCTCAGAGAATCATGCTTCCTAGGCTGGACACAACACTGGCTCATATATACTTGTCCAAGCCACCATCGCTCTCTTCCCAAGGCCCCAGGAGGTCTGTTCACTTCCTGAGGCTTTTCCCTCCTCACATTTTACATCCTCCCCCCTCTTCCCCCATGTAGTGTTCCTGAGTTTCATGATGCCATTTTCTTTCTCTTCCACATGCCTTAGTTCCTGTCAGACTGGCAACAGGTACTGCTGAAGTGAGGGAAGTGCAGCAGAGGAAGAGCTCGCAGGGGACTGGAGACTGGGCTCTCCTGACAGTCTCTGTGAGCACACAGCCCACACAGTTTTGCCTTTCAAACCAGAAACCACCCTTGCTGCTGAGCCCATAAAGCCAGAATCCCCCTGAAAATGACTGCCCACAGGTGACGCGCAGCTGGCTTTAGCTGGTTTCCAGGAGGCTGCGTCTTTCCTTTCGTGTGCCAGTTTCAAAACAAGAAAGCAAACCAGAATGTTAAATGCACAGGTATTGGCACAAATCTGTACTTCACAATTGCAAACTGCTTTATTTTTATTACTTCAGTGTCTTGCACACCAAGCAGATGGAGACAATGAAATAACTCCTGAAACTCTGTTTTTAACTGCGTAGGCTTCCAGTGGGACAGGTACGATTGCCAGCATGGAGGATAGTCATCCCTTTGCCACCCACCTAAATTACAAGGTGCTATTCAAATACAAGCTTCACCTCTGCTGCTGTTTTGCTATTAATTCTTCCAGTTGTCTGCTTCATTTTGCTAAATACATGTTGTTGGGCTCTGTCTCAAAATTAAAATACAACTTTGCCAACTTCTTCAGAGACCTTTCTTAAAAAACGTAAAAGTACACCATTCAGTGGTACCCAGAAATTCAGCTCGCCAAGAAAATAACTGCTACTTCTCACATGTAGGTCAGCCGACTTTGAAAAGAGGCACTGTGAGGATGCACGATTATGAAAATGAGGGAACATGTAAATCTTGGTGGATGCACTCAACAGAGCAGCCCGTTGTCCACCAGCTTCCCTTTTAAAAGCCCAGTGAGCACAGGCAGCTGCCCAAGCTGACTAGTGGTATTCACAGCCTTCAGCAAGGATAGGAGGTAAACTGGTTTTGTCCTAGTTGTTTCTGAGGAAGGAGCTGTGTTTCTGAGGGCTACAAGTCACAAAAATCAGCAGTTAATTTGTACTTTGTGGCAGCGCAGTAACACGAAGTAGATCTGCATGACAGCAAAATCTTCTTTATCTGTAACAGGATTCAGTGACAAGCAGTGATATGCTTGCTTTATTGTGGCTGTCTCATGGATGGACATTCTCTTACAACAGCCTGTGGTGATGTGTTCTTACCGTGCTACTTTTCCAGGGGCATTTGACTGCAGAGGCGCGTGTGCTACAGCCTCCTGCCCGCAGTGACAGGCGCTGTGCAGCAGCAGGACATCTTAGCGCCCTGCTGTCAGGATGAATGCGACACCTGGAGAGGAATCCTGGGGCCTAGTGCACCACTGGATGGCTTTAGGTGGAGGAGAATATACCACAGCTATAGGCATCTCCCCGCAGATGGCAAATGAAGCTTTGCTCCAGCTGGTGTTGCTTGTAGTCCAAGGTACTGCTCCCAGTAACATCTAATCTGGACTTCCTGTTACAAATGGTGTTGCGCTCAGCTCAGTGTCACACTGTACCACACACCTGCCTCTGCCCCTCTCTACCAGAGCACGTGGGAAATGCCTCCAAGGGCTGGTTTTGTCACTCTCCCTTGGTTACTTGCTGCGCCATGCAGTGAGGTTGCAGAAGCCCCTTCGTCAGCCAGTCAGAGCTGTGCTGCTGCTTTGGGGCTGCTCGTGTTCTGCAGCCTCTTTAGATGGCAGTACAGCAGGAACAAGTGGTAGCTCGTGCCACTACTCAGCAGAATGTGTAGGATTGACTAGGTGTCCCTCATGGCTCCATGGCTGTTCCCTAATGCCCGCGAGATTACCAGGTGTTTATACCTTCTGACACATCACAGCCTTCCTCCCTCCCCCCTTGCTGCTTTCATGTTCCCCCATGCGATTTCACGTTTAATTGCAGCTGAAGACCGCCTATTCAAACACCCTCCTGTAATGACTGGCCAGCAAACCCAGTCGAGCATCTCAGGCTTTTCTCAGGCTTGTCTCAGCCTTCCCGAATGACATGTATTTTCCAACCTATCTTAAGTGATACTACAGAGAAGAAAATAATCTCTTTACCAAGGATATTGTTCTGTGTTGTGTGGCTCCTAATGTATTCCAGGGACAACCTCATTGAAGGAAAAGATTTTCCTGGCACAACAAAAATTTTCTCAAATCGGCTGCAGCTGCCAGATAGTTTCAGCTTTGAATTGTTTGCATTTATTGGGCCTGGAGTTGGTTCAGTGAGGCATTTCATCTCTGCCTTGTGTCAACAGTTTGTGAGCCTTGAAGCAACTCCAGTGAACCTCCCTCGCCTCGTGCAAATTACAGGCAAGGCTGCAGCAGCTGTAACCAGAGGGCTAGAAGCTGGAAAATGTCACACCACAGTTGAAGTGAAACTGATATAAATCCATCATGTGATGATCTCCTTAAAAAAAAAAAAACCAACCTCCAAACAAACGCAAACTACATTTAATACCCAACCTTTTCCACATGAGTAATGTGCAGAGGGTTTAGATATGGAAGGATATTTTGCAGGCTAACATATGTTTGTATAGCTAATACTTCTTGATGTGAAGTTTAACAAACAGTTGTTCACTAACAAATTACTATCAAACAGTTGCTCACGCTGAAACACAAACAGCTTTTAAGAGACATCTAACTGCAAAGCTGCATCGGGAAGCAGACTGGCTCAGCTAAGAAGTCTGTCACAGAAGAGGGCGAGGATTAAAAAAGGGAAAATGGGCTTCTGAGTAAGATAACACAAGGCTGCCTGTTACCATAGGAAGCTTTCTGCACCTGTTGCAGCACGACAAGGAGGTCGCCAACATACCTAATCTATTGATCCACTGGGGTTTTGCAGTTCTCTAACACTTTCCTTTCACTCATCCAGTGCCTGAAACTGTATGTAAGCTAAAGCATCTGCTTTCCTGGATTGGTGAAACCGACTCTGAACCGACTCTTCTATTTACCTGATCTTAGCCTGCAACTCCCAGGAATTCCCAGAACGTGTTCTAGTTACTTGAAAACCTCAAACTGACTCCGTAATTTGTACCTGCAGGACAAGAGAGTTGCAACCAAAAGTCAGATTTTTTTCTTTCTCCACATCATGCAAATAAATCCATGTGCTTCAGTAACTTAATTTGTTGCAGACAAATTTGTGTAACAGAAGTGTGTGGACAGAGAGATGAGTTGTGCTGGAGGGCAGTGTTTAGCCAGAGCTTTAGCTGGTAGCCATGCTGGGTATTTACTAAATGTTAAGCACTGTGTGCTTTGGGGTTTTTTACTGCCCATTAGTGTGAAGACTTTGCTTCATATAGTGTGGGGTCTGAAGGTACAACTTCACCCCATCTGAAGTGTGTGTGTGTGTGTGTGTAGAAAAAAACCCCACAATTCAAGAGTGAAACCATAAGATCTTCAACTGCTGAAGCATCATCTAATGCAGTGTTTCTCCAGTTTTGTGGGTCTGCTTCCTTTCTGAGCCCCTCTGTCTTGGCTTACCATTTCCCTCTTCTCAGAGGGTGAGAAGTTCTTCCACATCAGGAGGAAGGAAAAGTGGTTGTAGTTGCTGCAAGTATTTACATTCTCCAGGGAACAGGTAACTACCTTTAATTGCTGGCAGCAGCTAGGCAATTAGCTGTTCTCCAAGTAGCATAAACACTTTATGACCTTCTTTGAACCCTCCTTGCAGAATCCCCTTGACATAGAAACATCACAATTTGAGGAAGCAGATCTGAAAACAAATTGAACTGTGGAAAAGCACTGGCACAAGAAACACGGTTACAAACTTCAATCTGACGTTGTGATGGAAATCTTTTATTGGTTCTGGAGTTCTTAAAGCTTTGTAAGAAGCTATACAGATTGCACTATAAAAACACTGTTGTACTAGACTGAGTCAGTAATTATGCACCGAGACAAGGAGTTTTCATATGATTTTCATTCTCTATTTTACTTGTGAATTGTGTTTAGCTCATAGTCTTTCCATTCTTCATCCAACGACACTCCAAAGAAGTGCGTGTTTGCATAGCGTGGGGACTTTCTCCGCTACGAATTAAGTCCCCTTTTAAGATTCCTGATGTAGCAAATACACTGCTACATTCTTTTTTGTAATGATACTGCAGTCACGATCCTTCAACTGTAAAAGATACTCTCTGCTGGTCATTCAGACTTACCAACTTTGGTGATGGTGGCCCTCTGAGGAGTTACGGTCATGCAAGCTACGCCTGGCTATTCCTGATTATCACTCACTAGATTGAGTCAACCTTGTGCTGGTTTTAGTCAGGACAGAGCTAATTGCTTCACAGCAGCTGGCATGAGGCCATGCTCTGGATTTTCCCTTTTGTCTCTTGTTCTGGGAATGCAAGTTCTTGTGTATCTAGGATTTCTGGATAGGGCTTTTCATCAAGTTCCTGTAAGCTGCCAAGATGAAAGACTGCTCTTCCCCCGGCTAGCACCTTTTGCAGGTGATTGTCTGTTATGTGTAGCATAGGGAAAAATGAGTAACACTAACTCTACAAATCAGTTGGATTTAACAAGTTTGGATTGGCTGGGACTCACCTCAGTGACATCCGTAGCATCTAGAAGTTAAGACCTTGCCTGTTTACTCATTTGCAGTGTACCCGAGGTGAAGCCTTCCCTTCGTACTGATTTTTTTTAAATGAGGAATCTCCTCTCCTATGGTGGAAAGGGTTTTGTCCTTTCAGCGGTACAAAATAGTTTTGTCATGAGGAACAGTTAAGCAGTCAATGACAAATGAAATCTAATACACAATTCTTGGGACCCAAACTGTGTTTTTTCTAACTGATAGTTTCTGTGCAATTAGACATACTCCACATCACAGACCTCTGCGGTTTTACAATACTCTAGCATGCTTTGTCTCAACACTTCTGTACACTTAGCAATTTGGCAAGTTCAAAAACAGCAAACTCATAGAATATGTTTTATGAATGACTCAAACTCAGCAAAGATTTCCTTGCTGTAGTGTATAAACAGCCAATAACACTGCTTGGAGTTGAGATATGCAATATAAAGGAAGGCTCTCCCAGCCTGAGAAACTGTCCTGTTAACTGCAGCTTTGGCACACATATGGCAGCTATGTGACTTATATATAAGAGTATTTAAAAGTAGAGTATAAGAGACTCCTTAAAAATATCCACAACCAGTAGTCTGCTATAGTAATAGCTAGCCTGTCTTCCAGTTGTATCATCTTCTAAAATTTACTGTGAGTAAGCAAGGATAAAATGTTCTGCTCTAAAAAGAAAGGCTACATCGTAATTTGCAACAAATACTTACATGAACTAAAGAAGTCCTTAGTATGAATTGTCATCTCTAATGATCTGAGAGACTGGAAAAACTTTCCAGCTTATAACTGAAATAACTGGAAGTAGAAAAAGAGGGTAAATTGATGTGTTGCTGCTGTGGTGCAGTTTCCTGAGGTGGTGAAATGACAGTGTGAAGCCAATACTATAACACAACTTTATATATTCTTCATTCTGATGATGGCTTGTTCTGGCTTACCAGCAACTTCATTTCTTGCTTATCTATGCTGGAATTTACGCTTTCAGCCTCTTTTTCTTGCTCAGGTACACAAGTGCAGCCCACTGGGATAGTGACGTAATCTTCTGTGTAGACGTAACGGCCCCCAGCACACGACGACGTGCGACGGAGGATGACCGTCGGCATGTACACAGGGGTGCTGCGGAAGTGAAAATTCTCCTCGCCAAAGATCCCCATGAGGCAGCCTTTGCACAGACAGTACGCTTCAGGGATGTATTTAGGGTATCTTGTGGGATCATACGAAATTCTATAGGGAAGCAAATAATAAAGATTCATTAGTATCTCTAAAAATAGGTATATTCAATATGGAAAACATTATTAGAATGTGATTTGACTGTAAACATTTGTAGAACATTTTTGTTTTCTTTGCCAGAAAAACCAGCTGTAGGTGTTGCTGCCTGGCTTCTTGTCTATAAAGTGGAAAGAAAAGCCATGAACAGCTTACAGAAGGGATCAGGTCCTACAATGCATGCTGAAATATGAAGTGACTGGCTTTCTAAAATGAGAAATTCAGGGGTTTGGGCAGAGTAGGTTTTGCATTTTGGACTGATTGGGTAAATAAAGCGTTAAAAAAGAACACTGGGTCATTTCCAAGCTTTTGATCTGCCTTAAGTTCTTCAAAACTTCATATAAATCCCTGTTAAAATTACTCCTGTTGAAGCTACAGCATGATGATTTAAAATTTTATAATTTCATAGAATCACAGGATGGTTGGGGTTGGAAGGGACCTTAAAGATCATCTAGTTCCAACCCCCCTGCCATGGGCAGGAACCCCTTCCACTAGACCAGGTTGCTCAAAGCCTCATCCAGCCTGGCCTTGAACACTTCCAGGGATGGGGCATCCGCAGCTCCTCTGGGCAACCTGTTCCAGTGCCTCGCCACCCTCTCTGTGAAGAATTTCTTCCTGATATCTAATCTAAACCTCCCTGTTTTCAATTTGTACCCATTACCCCTTGTCCTGTCAATTTAAATATAGTTACACTGTACTATTATTTCTGCAACAGTTTTTGCTCCCTAGTGCATTTGGGCTGTTTGGGATTATAAAGTCTCCTTCTTCTTGAAAGCAGAAGTCCTCATTTCTTTCTCTAATTCACCTTCACTGTCTCTACCTCTTCCTCTAACCAGAGAAGAGTAATGTTTGCCTGCTTACACTGAGATAAACTGCAAAGTCAATGTTTTTCCTGGCCTCTCTTGCTGCATTTTTAAGTCGAGCATTACCACAAAGCTTCAAGATGTTGTCTTACAGCTTGTTATTTGACCCTCTTTGCTTACTAATGCCATGTCTCTGGAAAATTCTGATTAACAGGAGCTGGAGAGCTTGTAACCAAAGTACAGCTTGCACCAACAAAGTCCAAGATACAAGTGGTTGGAGGCAGAAATAAAGATGTGATGTTGCAGTTTCAAGTCATAGAAATCCTGGCTGACCAGAATCTGGTCTGGATCTGACTGGATCCTGGCACTGTTTTTAGCAAAGACAGTAAAAGCTGATAATGTTTGTTTGGGTTTTTTTGAAATAAAAGACTAAGTACACAGCAGAGTACATGTACTGGAGTGTGTAGCCATGCTGCTTAAGGTGGTGGTGATGTATTTGTTGCTTAGTTCTTTGCCCGCATTTCCTGCTTATTCTGGAAGTAATTGATGGGCATGGCTGTCACTTGTATGTTACTATATCTGTGTGCCATTATTCTAGAAAAGATGTTTGCACCTCCAGGCAAAGAGGATTTAAAAAAAATATGTTCAGCTCCTATGCCAGCTGTCCTCTTTGTACCCGTAAGCTTCCCCCAGATCACCTTCTGCTCTCACACAGTTACAAAACTAGCCCTGCTTCGGCAACGGTTGCACTGTCCAGCTGCAGAGGGATGACAGCTCTCTGGCTGGTGCTCAGCCCCAAAGCACCGCCAGCTGCCTCTCGGTGCTCCTCCCGCAGAGCCCGTCCCCACGCTGGGAGGATGCTGACGCCGAGTATGTTATGAGAAGCAGTTACTCACCTGTCAGCCAACAGAAAACCCTTTTCTGCCCTGTCCCCCTGCTCCTCCTTTCACAGAGCAGTTAGACCAACACAGTGCACAGCAGAAGAATCCGACTGTTGCAGGACGTCATTGCCTCTTTACCTGGTAAGTTTTCCCAACACTGAAGCAGAGCATTCTTTTTCGTGCAAACTGAATCAATAATTTCCCATGTTTGGCCGGGAAATGACAGCAGCTGAGGCTAAAAATCTGAGTAACAGTCAAAAATTTGATATGAGACAGAATGTTCAAGCCTTTAATGTTTACTGGGATGAGAAGTGCTGCAAAGCAGTAAAACTTCTTGCACTGTGTTTTTAAGCCATCCTGTGTTTGGGATCACCACCGAGTAGATGAAGTGGGGCAATTACATGAGAAAAATGAATAAATTAAATTCCTCTCATCATTAGTTATTTATAGAGTGGTACAAACTGAATATACAATGCCCCCTTCCCACAGCAGTTTTTAAAATAGCCAGTTTTGAAAAACACAATGGACTTAAAGTGATTCCTAAATTGTGTTTCCCAGAACTGCATGAGGGTTTGTACCACTCCCTTGTGTATCCAAGTGTTAGCCTTTATCTTTAAGGGTGGTCTCTAAGGTGAGAAGAGGTTTCAGCTGTGGAAGAGGCTGCCTCCAGCTGTGATGCCAGTCACTTCCAGTCAACCAAACTTGTACTTGCCAACACAGGCAACCCAGCTCTTCCTCTCACCTCCATCCCTGGGACGATGGAAATGTTCTTCTAGTCACAGGATGGATCAGGGAAATCAGCCAACTGAAAAGGAACCTCCTCAAAAGCTGGATTTTAGCCCTTTGGCAGTCCTGCCACAATACACACAGCCCTATGCAAGCATGCCAGCATGAACAGGCAGCTGTAGATGGGCAGAAGGGAGCAGCCCTTTTCACATGTAACACCAGTTCATCAGCATAAAACAAATGTGGAATTGCAGCTTTAGCCAAACACAGACTTGATTATCCTGCCATCAGAGACTTTATTTTTTTGTTTTGCAATGGCCATATAATCTGGATTCTTTGTCTTTTTAAGGAATTTGTCTTCCTCACAGAAAAATCTGACCAGTTCTCTCACAGCCAGACACGTGTGATGTCACAGATGCTTTACTGCAAAACTTCTCAGTGCCATTTATACTTGCTTACTTTCCCCAGGAAATACCTTCATGTTACAGGATCTCACACCAATGTGAAATAAAATGTCTGGTAGCCAGCAGAAGCGAAGAAAGTGGAATACAGGTTTTTCTCCCATGATACATTCCCATTTCAAATGCAAGTGTGAATAATTTCAGTGGTGGATTGTTAAACACACCATATGTCAAGTCATTGGTATTTCCTCTACTGTATTATCTCTAGCACCTGGTTTATGATGTTACTGGAAAGCATGAACATGCTTCTGAATGCAAACCTAAGAATTTTCATTGATCACAAGAGAACACTGTCACTGGAATCATAGTCTACAACAAGCTTCCCCTCTGAATTCCCATGAGGCAAAAGTCAGGTATAAATGAGGGTCTTTTTGAAAGAGCCTCTGTAGAAAAATCTCATGTATTGCTAAATTTGCTGTAGATACCTCTACTCCATCATATGAGGATTGGAAGGAATCAGAGAGGATCCAAACCCAAAGACAGAGCCAAAATATAGATATGGTTTTGCATCCAGACCAGAACTTTAAGGCTGAAGACTCTAAGTAATGCCTCCTGAAATCAGATGCTGAACTCAGATGTCACTGGACTTTGGAGCCATATCCAAGGTTCTGCATCTTCAGCTCAAATCTGTTAAGAAAGGCTGTATAACTAAACCCTCATCTTACTCGTTCTAGGCAACCCAGCCTGATTTGGGTCTGAATCGCACCAGTCACCTTGCTGTAGGAGTGCCACTGTGTGACCTGCTTCCTCTGCTGTCACCTATTGAACACAATCGCTCTGTGTGTGTAACAACCACAGCCTCAGCTGCTGTAGCTTGATGCATCTCCATTACCTCCAAGCACTACAAGTCGTGTTTTCATGTCTTCTCCTAGAACAGGGCAAACATGTTCCATCAGGTTAATTAACTTGATAAAACACATACTCCCCACTGACTCTTTCTTGTAAGTAGTGGAAGATGCACTTAGCCAGGGTGGACACCACAGAAGCAGCTGGGAAGAGTGGTGGAGAACCAGAGAAGTGCAACTTTGCAGTGGCATCCAAGTATCCCCTGCCTCCTTGTGTCATCTGCTGTAGCCACTGCTGCAAACTAGACAGCCCAAGCGGTTTGATGAGGGTTGCCCTTGCGCTGCGAACCGAGGTTACAGGGATGTAGGCTAACGCTGCCTAGGCAGCGCTCCTAATTGACAAGTGACAGGACTAGTGAGCTATGCCGAGCTGCGATGTTTCGGTCTGCTGGAACAAGCAGCAGGATTGTACTGAACTGGAACTGCTAATGAAGTGTGACTAGTTCTAGACTGCTTTTCCTTATGACCCTACAAGTGCTTTGAGAGCTCCCAGTGAAAAGCAGACTTCCTGCCGTTTATGTACTAAACCTGGAAACTCCAGAGACAACTTTCTGTTAGAAGTAAAACTCTTGCAAAGACTTAATCTGACTTGTCCTGTACTGCTACTTTCATGTGCAGTGTTTTTAATAATATTATCACTTCATAGTTTCCAAGCTTCTAAATCCAGTGGGTCGGATGCTGTGCTGGGGTAAGCAGACACAGCTGACTCTCCAGAAATTCACTGTTAGCACCAGGCTAACAGCTGGATGTTATCAGAAGTCTAATAAGCAGATCATCATCCCTTTACTTTGCACTCTGAAAATATTATGGGATTAAGAGCTAACAACCTTCCCCCCCCCTCCCTTGGGAAGACATTTATTTCTCTATAGCAGGTGTTCTTTTGTTCACATTATGCTTAGTTTGTTTTATATACAGGTAATAAGGACAGGGCTTGAATAAAATAGCCTAGTTCTAACAGTGATCTTCTGAAGAGCTGTACAAACACGTACTCAAATAAACAAGGATGGCAGTTCCGTGTCCCCTTGTATTATTTCCCTTGGCTGCATCTTTAGGATATGCACACTGTGCCACATGATATGTTAAATCCTGGAAAATGTCTTGGATAAGGTGGTTGAAAATCACTGGAGTGTTATTTAAAGGAAAGCCCCTCTTGTATGGCTTTTTTCAAAAGCACTGCAGGCAAGCTTGGCTTTTACCAGTAAAGATGAACTGCCTGAATTACTTTTATGAAGATTTTATGTAGATGAGCACTAAACCAATGATGCTTATAA